ACCCTGCAGTTTGCAGTAACATGCCCTCCTTCAGTTGCAAATGTCCAGTGACGTGCTTTTCAAACCTTGTTTACGGTTTCGTCTTTGGATTTTTTTCGGCAAGGAGAGAGCTTCCTTTTTTTTTTTTCCTTTTTTTTTCGGGTGTATGTTTAGTGTTGGAGATGTCCGCTGTGTTTGGTGGTGGTCTGTGATGAATCTTCGCAGGAGGGCAACGAGGGCTACTTTCGATATGCAGCTGAAGATGTTGATTGAAACGTCAGAGGCGATTGCTTGCTGCTCAGAAATTGCCGGTGCTTGTGACATTCCACAACGCTCGATGATAGCAGGCGGGCTCAGACGCTTGATTTAATAAAACAGGAGAAGCTGATATTGTAGGTGGGCCTGCGCATGATTGGTCCTCAGGACGTTTGGTTGGGCATTGTTTTGCTGTGTTGTGTCTCTTTTGAGTTTTTTGTACTGTAATAACCGGTTGCTTTTTTTTTCAGCCCGTCTATACATGGATGTCTAGTTGTGTGACTGTCATGTCAATGCGCAGTCGAGACTCAATTTGGGCTATTTCGGAGTGTCTGATTGGTAATTTTCCTTTTCTTTTCCCCGGTTTGTTAATTAGAGTTTGATCACACTCTGGTAGTGTAGGAGGTCAGCATATTAGATCAGGTTTAATCGAATGTGGAAACGGTGTCTGTTTTTTTTTTGTGTGTGTGTGTGGAAACGGTCTCTGTTCCCTGGTACCAGATGGGAATGGGTTACCTCGTGTGATAGTTCGTAGACTCGTAGTACTTCATACATGCACTGGGCACCCCCTTTAGGAGAAGGGTGTGCTTGCCACTTAGGGAAAACTGCTTGTCGATTTGAATTGGGATTGATATTGTGTTCTTTACGCCAGGTCAGCTTTGTGCTAATTGGGCTTTTTGTGATTGAACTACTGTGTGATGTTGGCTCATGATTCTGAAGGTGGCTGTGCCTTTCCCCCTAATTGACGTAATGGCGACTTTCGTGGTAATCTTATATTGTGCTGTGCACTTCCGCTCTGGTACCCACAAAATGCCTTTTTGTTCTTTGGCCGGCGAATTGGTGTTGGTGGTATGTTGACTTGTCACGAATGAGAGTGTGGTTGCCGTCGTCACTGAAGGTTTTTGTGTCTGCCTGTGCCGTGCCCAAGAGGCGTGTGCGTCTACCTTCTTCACCCGAACAGAACGCCCGGCCATTATGCCTGTATTTTGCGCAGCTATCAGACTAGATACAGCGTTAATGACCTGGCATTCTATTCGGGTGAAGACGGTAGTTTGAGGTCATGGATGCATATTGGAGATGAGCGGCTGCAATCCGGATTTCCCTCGACTTCTACATCGTCAATTTTCTGTGAGGTTTGATAGATTCGAGGCGTTGCATTTGGTGGTCTTTACTACGGTTGACCGTGGATTGCATTTGGCTATTTTGCCCTGGAGGCCGAGGCCCGAAAGTTGTGGCAGCATGCAAGGTGCGTTTCTGAAAAAATGGCTGGGAATCGTACGGGTGGGTTAAAAAGACAGTAGAGTCTGAACTTCAGCAAATACTTCATGTATCGTTTCGTCTGTTGCTGTTTGTTTCCACTTTTGAGCGAGTGCTATTGCATGGCTAGGTTTTAGCAAAACTTTGCATACCGTTTGGCCTGTTGCTGTTTGTTTTGACTTTTGAGCGAGTGCAATGGCGTGGCTAGGTTTATGCAGTCTAGCCCAGATAGATTGCAACCATGTTGGACTTCGATGAGGGAGGAAGTGTGCCATCTGGAGGGAGAGACGAGTTTCTCTCGTGTCATCCCCCCTTTGTCGTGTGTCATCTCCCCATTGTCGTCTGCAGATATTAAACTGATCAGGACATACTACACTTAAATCTTTGCTGAAATGCTGAGAAAGGTATAGGGAGTCTCTACCACTCTTTTTCTACCCCATCCGTAGTGCGTTTACGACTAGAATCGTGGTAGGTTTCATCGTCTTTTTTTTTTTTTTTTTTTTTTCTTTACCGGGGGACTTGCTGAAATCTCGGCTATGAATGTCACACACGGCACAGTCATGCGTTTTGAGTGTATAGCGGAATATGACAAGACACACACAGAGCAAGAACAAAGGAAAGGGGAACCCCAAAGAAAGCAAATGCGAACACAATTAAGAAAGGGGCTTACATGCCTCTATTATACTCCATGTTGCTTGCTATAGAGGTGAAAGTGTTTTATGTAGGGCTTTCGTTGTCCCTACGCTATTAAAATCGCTAGCGTCACAAACCTGAAATCCGGACCGTCGTGGTCCAACCGGACTGACGGCCCAGATCATCGAAGAAATGTAACAAATGTGCGATCTGGGCCGTCGGGTGCTACCGGACTAAGGGGATTGACACAGTCTCAAGATCTTAAGACTGTGCCTGAATGTAGGCCGTTGGCCCCGTACCTCAGGCACAACGGCCGAGATAGCATGTAACTTTGGGTACCTCACACTGTCTTTGTCCATTGCAACGGGCGATTTCAGTCGGTGCCGTGTTTTGTCCAACTTCGTGCCCAGGGCCCTCGCCGTGTCATGGATTGCCCTCCACTGCGCTCGACTCTCTCTGTCTCTCTCACACACAGACATACACACACACACACGCACGCACGCACACACGCGCATGCACACACACACACACACGTTGTCGGGCTTCAACCACACACACACACACACGCACGCTGTCGAGCGTCAACCACACACACACACACACAGAGTCCGAGTTTGTGTAGTTGTATTGCAAACATGGCATCACACACACACACACACACACACACACACACAGAGGCCGAGTTTGTGTAGTTGTATTGCAAACATGGCATCACACACACACACACACACACACACACACACACACACACACACCTGTCTCTTATACACATCTAGATGTGTATAAGAGA